ATCCTGAGGATCCACCAAAACCCACTTCCAGAACTTGATGATTATTAAGATTGAATGTTGATAAATTATCAGGATTCGAACTTAATAACTTCAAAACGATATTATTAAGATTCATCCGATAACGTTATTATTTGAATATAGTTAATAACCTGATAAAAAGTTGATAGCGTTATTAAGATTTATCGGTATTATGATCGGATCTCAATAATCTCTCAAAATTATTAGGATGGTTATTAAGATACGAATATGGCACAGCTATAATTTAATCACGAATTTAATGATATTTTTGTAAAATTTTGTGTTTGAAAATTCGCGAATAATGGCCAAAATATAGGGAAATACGGGGTATTTATTTACCTTTACCGACCAATGGGACACATTTGTCCCATCGCGCCAAACGCAATAAAAAGTGGAAAAAACGTTTTTTCTAAATAAAGTCGATGATTTTTGGAAGGCACATTATTCCAAATTTTCAGCTTTAAAAGTTCCACCGTTAAAATTATATAGCATTTGGCGAAAGTTTAAAAAAAAGTTAAGATTTTTTGACTTTAGAGTGTTCTATCCAATTGCGTTTACAATAAATATCCAATATTATGGTACTTTCTGATAGCTACATTAATTCTCTTTCAAACGAAACCAATTTTACTAAAATTGGTTAAAAAATGTAGTTATTACAGATGAAAAACAAAATGGGACATATGTGTCCCATTGGTCGTCAAAGGGTTAAATCAAAACTATTTATGTAATACTCTAATTGTATAAACACGAAAAGATCAGATTTTTTATGACGTTGTTTATTTATTAAGTTAGATAACACTTACATATATTACATAGTCCTTTGGCGAATGAGCATTGGTTCCGCATATATATAGTCGATTTCCATTTTCCATTGACTGTATCACACGGATGTGGTTCCGACATTCGAAACGCTGTAAATAGCAATACAGATATAAAAGTGAATATTCGTCCGTCTTTTTGACCAATATTTTGTTCATAATTAGTTAATCAAATTTGCGTCCTGGGTATAAGGACCTTTTCCAACCGCTTTAAATTGAGGTTTATGTTCCATTTTTATTCAATATTCCCTATTTTTTTTAGAAAAACATGCAGTATAAACACTCAATATATGAAATTCATTGAATTTCGTTGGATTTTCAATCGTTTTTGGTCTTTACAACTACGAAAAACAATGAAAAAATGTAGAAAAATATAGAAATTGTAAAAAAAATACATATTCTCTATTTTTTCATATTTCATCGATTTTTTCGTGTTTTTCAAGTCCAAAAACGATTGGAAATTCATTAAAATTCAATGAATCTCGTATATTGAGTGTTTACGCTGAATAGTTGTCTCATTTTTCTGATTTTTTTTCGGGTGGGTCAACTTACAAAATTGGTCGACATTTCAATATGCACGGAAAGAATTTCGCCATGTAACGATATGTGTGAAATGACTTAGGATTATGAAAAAACACGAAAAACTAGTGAAGAAAGCTTATACTCGCTTTGCTGATATCTTTGAAACTGTCTACTTGATGATGGTCCGAAAAAATTTAGTTTTTATAAAAATGTTTTTTTTGCACAAAATTTTTATTATTGGTTTTTGACGTTTCTAAATCGATTGAGACTAGCCAAATTGACGATTTGTCGGTCAAAATACAAAATCGGCGGGGTGGTTGAACTTACAAAGTGGGTCAACTTGCACATACTCCCGTATTTATTACACTTCACGAAAGTATACACTGCGACAGAATAAAATTTTGACTTTCTTGTTATTCGTTTGAAACTTACTTGTGTCTTCCCTTTTGAAATGCAGTCTCTAACATCGGACTCGGTTGGTTCAAGCAACAAGTGATTTTTCTGAAAATTAAAATGAATTAAATAAAAAGCAGAATGATAATAGACACTTTTCGAACAAACAAAATGTGACTATTGTTCAGCTTCAGGCAGCTTACCTCACATCCTGAGAGGCTGATGTTCTTTAAATTCAGCCGATACACACGGTTCCTGTTGAGAATTAAGTGCTTGAATGAATAAATAACTTATCAACGGAAATGTAAATTTAATACAACATTTCAAAAATTGATGATGGTTTACAACTAGAATTTGAAAATTTATTAAAAATGATTAACCTTCTGAGGGCTATTCCTGCAGAGAAAATAAACAGAGTGTTGGACCAACACTGTTTGGTAATTTGTCGATAAATTCAAATGAATCCAGTTGAAAAAAAACAACAACAATAACACTCAACAATTATTCGACAAACCGAACACAGTGAACACTATTTCACCGTTTACGGCTCATCAGCGTAGCTCGAAAGGACTCGAACCATCTACGAATCGGGTCATTTACAAACTGAATTTAATTCAGTTTTGAAATAAAACGATTCGGTTTGATAACAAAAATACAGTTAACTAGATCGTTGTGTTTCGGTGCGGATTTCTATTGAAAATATCGTTCAGAAAAATTATTAGTTTACATCTCAAAGCAAAATCAATTTTGATCATGATTTGGTTACAATATCGCCCTTATTCACGCTAAAAATGAGTTTTTGTCGATTTTTTTCGATTTTCCATGCATTTCCCTATCTTCGAATGGCCATATCTCGGAAAAAAGAATTTTGCTTGATATGAGCTACATATGTGTCAAATTATAACTCTAATTTGGGGCTCAAATCTAGGGAAACCGCAGGAGCCGTTTTCGAGAAAATGGCCGATTTGTGCAAGGCCATTTTTTGGTTTTCCGCCCATAAGACCATGCCAACTAAATTTTTTAACAAAAAAATGGATATCATTTGAAAACTGGCCTTAGAATCTTTCCAACGATACCCAAAAGTCTGAAATCGGTTGACTGGTTTGGGCACAATGGCCATTGGAAGGAAGGCCTTTTTTGAATTTTCAAAGGCCCGCCAAGCCCAAGATGGCAGCCAAACCGAAAAGTGCTAGAACAAAAAAGTCTTAGTTTTTAATATACTTCAACCTCTGAAAGTTTGAACAAAATTGGTTGAAAGTACGTATATATGCATTTGCACACACAGACAAACGTATAAAGCGAGAGCACGTAGTAAGCGAGTAGTGCCACTACGCGCCCGAGATAGTCACTGTTTTGGCTGTTCTCCGCTTCTCACTATCTTCTTTTATTTATTTATTTACAACGTGTTGAAAGCCTTTGAGCCAAACTGTGTGTTTCACAGGCGCGAGTGACGAAAGCACTCCTGTACTGAAATTTGAACTCGACTATGTATACACGCAATTTCGAACTATTTTTTCCTAAGAGGGCATCTAGTATGAATGAAGTATCGCTAGAAAGGCCCTGGCTCATAGGCCCAGAAAATGCATTCAAACTTGAAAATCGACCAACCATCTCTACAGAAGTAGCGTCTTGAACATTCAGAGCAATTCTCAGTTTTTCCCATTTACCGGGTGTTGTTGTAATCGCGGTCCGTTCATCTTGAAACATGATTTTACTGAAGCTACTCATTGAGATCTTTCCGACGATATTAAGAACATCTAACCTATGCTTTTGGCCGGCGCAAGATAGCGGTGGCGCCTAAATAAGATGTATCAACAATTTGCGGCATTTTTAAGAACTATCAATACTTTTTGTTGTTCTCACGAATTTCGCGACAACAAGAAGTATTGATAGTTCCTAAAGTTGCCGCAGATTCTATTTAGGCGCCACCGCTATTGACTGTCACGTCAAATACATTGGTTCTTATGGCAGAGAAGCACACGTTGAGAACATCGAAATTGGACCATCTGTTAATGAGTTATGGCCATTTGGAAAAAAAATTTGGCGTCTCGATCAATTATTCTGAGATAATTGTTTTTTCTGTGTATGTGTGTATCCGTTCTTTTTGTCCGATCTTCTTAGAACTTTCAAATATATCACGGCGCACTCGTTCGTTACTAGCAGGCATTGTCCATAACCAGCATGGTTTTGTGAAAAATCGATCAACTTCAACGAATTTGCTGCAAATGGTGAACTACATTATGGACTCAATGATAGCGAAATGTCAAACTGATGTATTGTACACTGACTTTGAGAAGGCATTCGATCGATCCAATCATAAGAGACTTCTGCAAAAGCTGGCGAGCTTCGGTTTTGGGCGTGGACTTGTCAAATGGTTCCATGCATATTTGACATCACGTACTCAGTTTGTTGGAATCGGCAACAGAAAGTCAAGGACTTTTACCGTCCCATCGGGAGTGCCTGCTGGAAGTATCTTGGGACCTTGTCTCTTTATTGTTTTTATTAATGACATTGTCGACACTGTAACTTATGTACTTGTTTTTATGTTCGCAGATGATTTAAAACTCATTTTGAGAATCACGTCGGCGAACGACATCAGTAAAGCATTTGACAGAGTTAACCACAAGAGATTGATTCTGAAACTCAGATCGTTCAACCTGCCGGACAATCTTCTTGCTTGGATCGAATCGTAACTGTCAAACAAACACAATTCGTTAAGTATGGAAACAGCGAGTCGAACGAATTCAATGTATCATATGGCGTACCACAGGGAAGTCATCTCGGACCCACACTATTTTTGTTATTCATCAATGACATAGTGGACGAAATGGACGACGTGTTCATTTCCTTGTTCACCGATGACATGAAAATTGACAAAATCATCCACTCGAGCACGGATGCTGCAGTGCTACACGATTTCTATAGTCAACAGATATTTCACGATTCACTTTCAAGCATAGGTTCTGACACCAAAAAATTAGGGGGGGGTCAGGCCGAAAATTCAAGGCCCCCCCGGTCAAAAAAATCAATTCTATCTAGTGTAAATTTCTTCCCCGAAAAAATTTGCTGCCCGGGGGGGGGGGTGATCCGCGTATCTAGTGTAAAACCGGTATCCAGAAAAAAGTGAGGTCTAAAACAACAAAAAAGGTCCGAAAATGGCAACGGGTCCAACAAAATCGTTGGGGGTCAAATTTTGCCAGGGGGGGGGGGGGCCAGGATCAACGAGATCAGACTATGTCAGAACCTATGCTTTCAAGCGAACAGAATTTATGTTGCACTTTAAAAGAACAAGAATATTGTGATACGCTTATCCATAAGCCCGAGTAGCAAAAATCTCAGGCTTGCAACCAAAATTTGTTATAAATCGGATTCAATTTAGTTATTCGCAACAAAATATGTTATAGAACAGTTGCAATGTGGTTTTTAGGTAACAAGGCATCCGCTTTGTTATATATAAGTTATAGAAAAGTTATTTTTAAGTTGCAGAAAAGGAGAAATATTTTAACAAATTTACCAACTGGTTGCCAGATAACTCATAATCTCAAAACTTTATTGTAACGTTGCTGCAACTACGATTTGGTTACATACGTAACCATGATACGTCAGTGCATTTCACCTTGTCAAACATTCATACATTTGGTCCAAGAATGCAATTCCTGTTGAAGAATTTGCCAAGCTAATGAGTTTCGAAAACGTTAAGAACGTTAAACGTTTCGCGTTGGTGGATTTCATCCAATCCAAAACCAATCATTACAATAACAACAGAGAAATCACAAAAAAAAAACAACTTGTGTTGAAACTACTTCATTACTATCTTTCTTGTTACAATAACGTAATTCAAGTTATAATTAAGTTACATTCATGTTATATAGAGGTTACAGTAAAGTTACTTCAACTAAACATATTGAATGTAGATACGTTGCATAAAGAAATAAAATTTGGCTGTCATTAGAATTCTTTCCGTAAGGAATACATCGCCTAATCAAAATTCTGTGGCAATAAAATAAAATCATGGAAAACAAAACAAAAACAGACCAATTTCATTGAAACTGTCTTGGGATAAAATCAAAAAGAATGGAAATTATGAGAAAAACGTAGAGAATTGTTCAAAAATATGCTGGCATTCAAAATATTGTTTGACATTGAAACGCAAAATAGAATTTTATTTGTTACTCTTACGTTTATACAACATTTCTTAAACTGAAATGCAACTTGAATAACACAAGTTGTAAATATGTTGCCGAAATGTTTTTGCAACGTGTTTTATGTGATGAAAGTCTAGATGGAAGCTAAGAAGTTCCTGCAACATTACTACAATGTAGCAGTATTGTTACAACAATTCCAAGGTTCTATTTGAGTTACATTTGAGTTTTAGTAACAATGGCAGTAAAAATCGCCATATTTACTGCTGTTTGGAATTTTTTGCGCATCGATGCGCTTGTTCTTTCGAAAATAAAATCGAATTTATCATATATTTATGCATTTTCAACATTGCGTTTTAGCTAATTATTATAATTTTGACATTATAAATCGTATTTGAAATGGTTTGAGATAGTTAAACGAAAAAATTAAAAAATTTAAAAAAAAATTTAAGAGCCTATCGTGGCCACTATTGACGACAAAATGACATCCGTTGTAAAATTTCGATTTTGAAAATGTTCAAAATCGGCAAAATATTTTCATTCTCACACATATATATGTAATTGCCCAGCGATTAAATATTTTTCAAGTTTAATTTGGCAAAGATAGAGATAAATGATGATGCCATTGAAAGGAATGAATTGAAGAATGAACATTCAAATTGAAACTCGATAGTAACTTTATTGAAACTTTCTTTGGTTATAAAAAAGTTATATTTTGGTTATATGACAGTATGCGATTTATGAGCATGGCTATTGCAACGATATAATAACATAACTAAAATCGAATTATAACCGAATTATAACCAATTTGTTACAAATAAGCCCCACCTCGCGGCTAAACAGCTTACAATACGGTTATTGTAACGTTTCAAAGATCGGCTTGCAACATCTTTGGAGTTGTATTTAAGTTATAGTAACCCATTTGCAACCGAGAAAAAGGGGAAATTTGCTACTCGGGAAGTGGTTCAACTTTAGTTATTTTTATTCCCGACCACTCATATGTTTAGCGCTACAGTTAGTCTATCTTTTTTCAAAAGCGTAATTATCTTGAACCGTTGACAATCAACTACCATTATCATTGGACATTTTCTTTTAGCTAGTTGAGAACCAATATTTATGTAAAATCAAACTAGCTGTTGCCATACTCTCAATTGTATAAAAATCAAAAGATCAGGTTGTTCATGACTCTTGGAGTATTTTCCTGCAAAACCAAATATTAAACCAGTTTTTTTGGCGGTGTTAATAAAAATTTATACTGAAAAAATTATTTCTTATACAGACTTTTCGAACGTTCGTCAGAACATTCGAACGAATTAAGAAAAAATAAGAATAAAATTGCAAGCATGCATTTAAAATATATGGAGATCAACTCAAAGCATAGGTAAACGCGTGTAAGATTTCATGGAAGCCTAAAGAGCTTACTCGAGTCTTGGATCAGGTTTTTCTTCAAGATTTGGTCATCTTGCAAAAATTTACACTTTCTTCGATTTCTTTAATAATATTATCTCAAAAAATGATTAGGATCCGATCTTAATAATGTTAAGCAAATCTGTAGGTATATTTTCACTCCTGTAAATATTTGTTCCATGCTTACATAGCTCCAACGTATAATGCATCTCTCTCTTCGTCCAACTGGAAGGTTCGATAGTAAAGTTTTCCGCAAGTGAACTCACGTACGTTTTCTGCAATGACAAAATAAAACAAAATTATTTATATTTTATTAATTTTATTTTATACAGCGTGAATTGAAACCAAGAAGATGAAAAATAATTAAATCGTAAAGTTAGAATTTAAAAGCACTGTAGAATCACTGTAGAATTAAATACATGTTCGTAACAGGGCTTAAAATAAGAGAGAACTAAGTCGAAAATACGGAAGACACTTTCACACAGTAAATGGTATTTGTTTGATGAATATTGCCGTTTGAACCGTCTTCATTTAAATCTACCCGCTGCAATATTGTTTGTATTGCAATGGAATTGAAGTTCAAACTAAATTAAATCGACTGTAGTTTTGATTTCTGAAAAATTTCAAATTTTCAATATAATATTATTATCAAGGCTGACGTGAACGTATATCGATACCATCGCACTGTCTTTACTTCGCAAGGTAAAGAATATATACATTGATATACCTTTGCGGTAAATATCGCGTTAAATATCGCGTCAGTTAGCACTGAAGAGCTAGCTGACGCGCGTGCAGTTATGTGTATCATTTGTGTGCTCAACGTTTTCAAAGGCATGAATGCAAGAACTGCAATCTATGCGACGATTGTAATATATGTATTAGTATGTTCAATGAAAACCGAAAAAACCCATTCTCTTCCACACGTCTGATACAAGTTGTATCATACAAATGTAACGTTCCACTTCTTCAACTAATTTACTATACACATTTGATAAGATTTATTTCATGAATAAGATGTCTTGTTTGAAACAGTCAATATCCTTGCGAACTTTTCATGGATCTTTTGTTTTAATTTCGTGAGATCAAAACTTCTTTTTCGAATTTTCTTTTCTGCTACATAAAAGTTGACACGCCTTAAGAAAATGCCTATAAAGTGATTCAAAATCTCAGTAGAAAAACAGATAATTTATATCAGTTTTCAACGTTCAATGTCACATGAATCTTTTGTTAAAAAAAAGGCAACAGGTTTTAGGAAAAATTAGTTCAATAAATAATTAGTATTCCAAATGGAATCAGGCGGATAAACGATTACTCCAGACAATTCAAGAACTTTGTTCAAAGAGGACTCATTTTCATATTCTGTTTTTTGAAAAATTGCCTCTAATCCAATTTTGCACAAAGTCTCTAACCGTGGGTATTAAAGTACTATTTTGGCATCATAGAAAATATCGGCAGCAATGGTACAGAATATGTTGCTATACTGCTAATATCGCCAACCTAGCTAGGTTCCCGATCAAAAAGTATCATTCGCCAACACAAATTGAGCCAAATTACATGCAGCCGGTATGTTATAGAACCATTCGGATTTAAGTGAACCTTTTATCCTGTTGAAGAAGAATGGGATATTTCTCATCTTTATCGGAACTATAGTAGTACAATATCTTCTACACTAATTTATAGGAAATTGTCCAAAAAGCAATTTCCCTTGACTTTCCCATGGGTACGTTTTTTATACTGACAATTTGGGTTAACCAAGGGGCAAATCCGAGGGCAAATCACTACTGAAAAGACTGAAAGACCAAAAAGACTGAAAGCACTGAAATCCATTGAAAACAGCTGAAAAGTACTGAAAAGAACTGAAAAATATTTTCAGTACTTTATAGTGTTTTTCAGAATCAAAATAGATCGGGATTTTTGACAGTTGACATTTGTTTTGACAGATCTGCCATCTATTCATTTTTCTCCTCGAAAGTCAATGCCATTTTCAGTACTTTCATATACTAATACATTGGGCACTGAAAGTACTAAAAACCACTGAAAAGTACTGAAATCAATTTTTCAGTAGTAATTCGCCCCTTGGGGTTAACAGATAAAAAACACTAGTTCCATTAATTGACAGCTGTTGAATGTTTACCTTTGTGATGTCGCAAATGATGACTATTTGAGTGACTACAGCACGGCATTTCGTAATAAAAACTCCACGAATTTTCATATTCACAGAATCCTTTATCTATTAATAGAAACAGAACTGCAACAATATGGGTAGTTTGCAGGAGCGACTTTTTCAACGTCAACATTGCATTTATTTTGTATGAATCCTTTTGTGGCGGATAATTCGTCGTTGATTCATTAATATAGAGTCGTTACAGTTTTCTTTTCTTATGCTTTCAATGTTAATTTAATTGATGATTTTTCTGTAATGTTCCATGCATCAAACAGTAATATTTAAATCATTTGAAGTCCCTATAACCCTAAATCATTTAAATAATGTCCTCCAACGTGATGAAGTGAAAATGTCATCATTAGAAAATGGAGGAAATTGAAGTTGAAGTCGTTGTTTCACAGTCTAGAATTTTCTCTTATAATTTTCCGATACACACAGGGAAGAATGATTGAGATTTTTGATACAATGGTTTTATTCGTAAAAATAATCCAAATTTAATTAAGAAAATTTAGAAGTAAGAAAATAATGTTCTATGTAATTGTGCTCTTGAGGAATATGATAAGTCAGTCATACACATATATTTACAAGAAAATACAAAATACTTTGACTCCAATATTAGGTTTACAATGACAAAATTTCAAGAACGTAATATACAGAACAATGTCTCTTTATTAATTGCTGACTTCGAAATGCATTTGGAAGTACACCGATAGGTGCATCAGTTTCACTTGATCCATTGAAGGTATGGCAAGAAATGACATATATGATTTTTACTTTCTGCTCTATTATGACCCTTTGAACGTTCTAAGGTTGATGAACCCAAATCAAACTGAAACTTTGACATTTTTCCAGGATAAATTTATAAACATTTAATTTTTCGTCAAAAGATGAATTGATGTATAAAAAATGCTGTAATATTACTGAATGATTTTACTTCGCAAATGTTTTCCCGATTTAATATAATTCCATGTAAGAAATGTGCTGGAATTTAGTTTTTGGATGCAATGCTTATATGTGGCATCTCTTTTCACATGTTATGTTGGATATTTACACCAATGTACTTATCATCAGATACCAAAAAATCAATGTCATTGAAATAATATTAAATAGAAAGTGCGACTATTGCTAACGTATCGGCTTAAAACGAGGAACAAAACATAACGCGTAATGGCGATCAACATTTCACAACTATATCCGAATAAAAACTAACACTTGAATATAACATAAGCGTGGGGAAGCGTCAGATGAAGAATGGTATGCTGAGTCTGTGCACAAACAATTGTGTCCAACATACACACGTGAAAAGGTATTTCACTCCAGAAACACCTGCAATTTATGTATGTTTGTCTTTATTTCATTTAAATGAAATATTTATAAATGATCTTGGAAATAATAGTTCCGGTGTAATATGGAGCATAAGTTTCGATGGGAGAATTTTTTAAATTTGTAAACAAGTAGATATGTTATTTAGAATGTATATAATATATTTGAAATAATTGAAATGAATATATTTGTAAGTGTTAGTGTCATGCAGCTCTAAGAAGCATTCTTTGTGTGTTTGTGTGCGTTTTCAATGTTCATACTTGGTAATATATATATTCACATACTTAAGAACACACAGTATAATATTATTATTCATATGCGGTGCCATCTATAGTGATTGAGATAAATCAATCATACCATTATAATCATGGAATTACCGATGTAAAAGTTTTAACAAGAACTATCTGCTAAAATGTATCCCAAATAATATCTAATAATTCATCGGAGCATAAAAACACTGCACACATTCTTTTAGGTGAATATTCAACTACAAAAAAGCAGTTATTTGCTCTTCATTCATATGTCTTTCACATAAATTTAAATTTCGAAATATTTATTTCTATTGTAGTTTCATTATAAGTCGTTGGTAAATTAAATGACAGATGTTTTATTTCTTACCAGGCGAAAGTTGTTCCATAACCGCTGTCGATAAATTTATAGATACGATGAGCACTATAATTGCTATATAAAACGCTCTCCAGAAGCTCTCAAATGTTATTGAACGATGTTGAATCATGATTGCCATGACTGATTCACTCTCTCTCTCTCTTTACTATTTCTTTATGAGTTTGAAATTTAGAGCCTGAAAGATGAAGATTTCCATTTGAAATTTTGCCAATATTTAAAGGTATATTCAACGCAAGTACTGGTTTCACTGATATCAATGTATTTTTTATAGTAAAGACACTGTCTATTTTATATGCTGTTTTTCTCTTGAAATCTCGTAATGGAGTATATATGAATTTAAAAAAATGTTCACAAGATAAACATTAATCAGTTGTATGCAACTCACAAATTGAAAAGAATGGACTGATTGATATTGTTTTTCACATTAAAGTCACACAAATGATGAATGAAGTATTTGGAAAACTTCATTAATAATGTTTTCCAAATAATATTCCCGTTGTTTGTCTTTACGTATACGATAAAATTTCAACATAAACCGATGCTTTAGGTGCGCATCCACATACTGTACCACCATTACTAATACATATACAATAGTACTGAATTTTGGATCCTGGTGCAGTGGCGTCGACGATGCTATGGAACATTTGAAAATCCCCTTGCTCTCATTGGGAGAATAAAAACGGTATGCTTAATTTACACACTAAAAGACTTGGAGGAGTAAGCTGCCAGAATGGACGCTACTGATAAATGCACTCATTTCGTTTCCATCGCGCATATGCAAAGAAAGTTGTATTAATGTGAACGATAATAGATTTAGTGTCAAATAAAAGTGTGTGCAAGTATTAGTTAGCACTTGAAATTCTTTGTGTGTGCGTATGTGTGTGCGTACATTGCAACTGCTTCGAAATTTCGAAGGGGAAAAATATCTGCTGTCAAATAGACAATGGAACATAATATACCATGTAACATACATTTCTTGAAATTCATTCATTCAAATACACACAACTACAAATCTGAACTGTTTCGAAAATCATGATTTACAAAAAAGCTCTGATAAAGCTCAAATACTAAATCTTTTTCCAATAATGAAATGTCACACAACCACGTGACATTTCAAATTACGCTGTTATCATTATAACATTTGCTACCGCGAATTTGCTACGTGTTTCTATCATCTTCTGCAAATTTGATAATCCCTTTTTTTTTAAAGCTGAGAAAAAATGGAATATTTAAGGTTTGTAACGACGACGATAAAAATAAGATAAAAAACGATATCAATTCATTTATTATTATTTATTATGACAAATAAAATTAATGTATGACTAAAGGTATCAAAATCATTTTTGATTGGTGATCTTTATCACTGATATTATTATTACACTGAGTTATTCGACCAGACTGTAAGGTTGTTATTCAAAAATTATTAAATGTAAGGATTTTGCATAAAAATTAAGAACAAAAAAATTTGATTGAACTTAGGAATAGCTAAGGCTCTCGGATGTGGGGGAATCTGGGCAATTTCTTTGAAAATCAACATCATTCCCGTCCAGATTTCACAATTCCACAAAAAAATAGCACAAACAGAATTTTTTAAGGATATTTTAGTTTTATATATAAAATCGTTTATCTTGCATGACTTTTGCTAATAACTACGAAAATAGTTGTTTAAAAAGAAATATCAACAAATTTCCCCATTTTTAATCGAATTCCCCGAATATTTGCCCGATTTCAGAGAAGGTCTTCTTCTAGGTTGTGGAAACCCGTTGTTGGACGTCATTGCTACTGTAGATGATGCATTTCTTCAGAAATATGGTTTGAAACCAGATGACGCGATTCTAGCGGATGAAAAAAAGCACAAAAATCTGTAAGTAGTATCTCAAGTCTAAAATAACATAAAAAAACACGCTGACAATAATCTACTATGTATGAATTCATTTTTTCCACAAAAATTATTCAGCCCGGACTTGGTGATGCCCAATGACTTGTCATCACAGGCGTAGCATTTCACTTGATTTAGCAATTCAATAGTTGCCAAAACATCGTATATGCAGTTTACTCGATTTATCACGTGAAATCCTAATATTCGGTTAGCCAAAGTATTATTTCGTTTGCGGCACCTATATACATAGCGTACGTATGACCTATAGCTACTACGATGAAGTACGATGCTATATTCAACATGAATTGGGATTTCACGTGAATTATCGAGTGAACAGCATATACGATGTTTCGGCAACTACCAAATTGCTAAATCAAGTGAAATGCTACATCTACCACTGTGACGACGAGTCCTCTGCTTCATTGAGTGTTGACAAATGAATGTTAACATATGTTTTCAATTCTATTATATCGCATACGGTATTGCAAAATTCCACAATTGTTTCCAATAAAGAAGTTTGTTTATTTATTCTATCAGTTATAAAGAGTTGGCGGAACATGATTCTGTACAATATATGGCTGGCGGTTCATGTCAGAATTCTCTGCGGGTAGCCCAATGGATTTTGCGTACTCCCAAGGTTTTCCTCGTCCAATATGAAAATATAAACAGAAAATGCATCAATTTTATTATTATTTTCTTTTATTATAATTTAATCCTAAGGTTGCTGTATTCTTTGGCTGTGTTGGTGTGGATGATTACGCAGAAAAATTAGCAGAAAAAGCACGTGCTGATGGCGTGAACGTTATTTATCAACAAAACGATTCACTTCCCACGGGAACATGTGCAGTGGCAATAACTAACCATCATCGATCTCTGTGTGCGAATTTGGCAGCAGCCAATGCCTTCACAGCGGACCATATCAATCAACCAGAAAATCGTAAAGTTATCAAAAACGCCAAATATTTCTATGTCACTGGATTTTTTTTGACAGCTAGTTCTGAAACTGTGCAAGCTGTGGCTAAGCATGCACTTGCTGCGAATTCTCCATTTCTGATGAATTTAAGTGCTCCATTTTTGGCTCAGTTCTATAATAAAGAATTGATGGAAGCACTGTCTTTTGCTGACATTGTGTTTGGCAATGAAATCGGTAACTATAGTTTTATTTAAAACAACGTTTCAAAAATAATAGAAAAATGAAGAAATAAGTTATAAAGTACATAACAAATTATTTTTTATAAACGTAGAGGCTCTTGCGTTCGCCAAAGAAGAATGCTTCGAAACTGAAGACTTGCGTGAGATTGCTCTCAAAATCTGTAGACTTCCCAAGCAAAATGAAAATCGTAGTCGCATTGCAGTTATAACACAAGGAAAAGATCCTGTACTTCTGGCACAAAATGGAAAAGTGGTAGAGATTCCAGTGGACGCATTGACCAATGACGAAATTGTAGATACAAATGGTGCAGGTGACGCATTTGTCGGAGGTTTTTTAGCCCAATTTATTCAAGAAAAGTCGCTAGAAACATGTGTACGTTGTGGAATCTGGGCAGCAAGAGAAATAATAAAGAGATCTGGTTGTTCGTTTGACGGTGAAGCATGCTTCCAGGAATAAAAAGAAAGATGGTTTTATGTTTTTAAGCAAATTGTTTATAATAATCAGTGGATTAAAAAATTAAATAAAAACATTCGTAATACCAAACTTTTCCGTACTGTTGTCCGGAATTTCGTCCGGATTTTTTTTATTCTTATTTAACACCACCAAGCTCTGTCTGAATATAATTGAGGATTAGAAGTAGCTATCAGTTCCCGCCTTGTTAAAAACCTGGCTCTTTTCGTAATTTTCTCAGCATTTACACAAGTGGGACATGAAAACAAAAACACAGTCTCACAGCCAAGTTGGAACTGCTTTATAGTAGTCGGAAAGCAAACGGTCCAAAATAACCTTTGGTAAACGGACGGTCGTCATGTTTTCCAACGCCAATGCTGCAATTAAATTCATGCACATCGCATGAACACCGCGTTTTGTGTACAATTAACTATCAAAACTGTCGCAGCATATACAAAAACGCAAACGCTTCGTTTGTACCGCCGCTTCCTGTGATCATGATATGATAAAATTAACTGGAATGTGGCTCAGAAATGATATTTATGATGCTGAACTTTTTGACGATTCATATTTTGTTTTTCGTAAGGATAGACTTTTTCAACGCGGCGGTGATGTGCTAATGCAACCAAAAACGAAAAGTTCGCCAGTGAAGAGATAAAAATTGCCGGTACTGACGATTTGGAATACGTTTGTGTGAAAGCTAGCACTGAATCACACGTCATTTACATCTACTGCATACATTCCGCCAAATTCACCGCAAGCAATCTACGATTCACATTTAGCAGCCATGCACGAAATCGCTACCGATCCTGAAGATTTTGTTATTTTTGTTGGTGATTTTAATATGCCGCATGTGGAATGGTCAATCGATAGCGACAATGACAAACAACGAAGATATATTTTATGGTTAACGGATTTTTGGCTGACAAGATGTTGTTTTTTGGAGATGACTAGAAAAAATATCTTTTTGCTCACATCAAGAACTACAAATTTGTCCAATATTTTATACCGAAAAAACAACATCTAGTCAGCCAAAAATCCGTTAATACGAAATGGTCCATACAAGAGTATTATACTACGTTGACTCCACATTGTGGTACTTCAGTGTTTATTTTTTAAGGGAGTTAGTTTTTGGGATTGACATGTTCGGCATAGTTGTAGCTCTTGATGAGTAGAGTAAATTTGATCAAGACACAAAGTAAAAATAATTTACCATTTGTGAGTTATAACCTCAAATGTCAAATAAATGACGCTATTTTGACAGCAGCTGTCATACTTTCAAGGCTGTATCTCTTAAAGTACTTGGAATATCTGATAGGTTATTATTGCATTATTGGTCCAACTCCAAGCTTTCAAACGCCGATTAACATGCTTCAATATCATTCTTGGTCCAAGAAATATTCATATGGATTGAAGGTGATAAAAGTGAAGTATAAAAAAAAGTTTGACCGTCTCCATTTCCCAAACAACGGTTCGGTGGAGCAAAACATATATACCATTACGAAGCAAAATTAGCTTGTGCATTATACTGTATCCCCACTTTTTCCATTTCTGTGAATGTTTTCTATTTAAACAAATATTAAACGGACCGTATACTTAATTTTGTCCATCTCAAAATCCCGCTTCTAATCCCAGATTCAAAAAAATCTGGTAAACTACATTATATTTTTTGGACGCTTAGTTCACACTATTTGGAATAAATAAGGCCTTTTGTCTTATTGAAAAAGCATTAAAAAATACACGAAATTTCCATATGAAACCCCAATAGTTGGATCGTATACTCAATTTTGTCCATGACTGTATGGCATATATTGGCAGCCATACAACGTTACAGTACTCAAGATGTAAACCCGTTTTTAATAAATCGGTTCGTTACTGCTAAACTCGATAGAACTTGTGTGTTATGTGTGAGATACACATTCATGAATTGAACAAATTACCAATGAGACAATGATTAAAAAAAGTAGTATACAGCAAAAAATAAAAGTCTACATCTGGGCGTTTTTTCAGCTAAAGAGTCATTCACATAGGTTCTGACATAGTCTGATCTCGTTGATCCTGACCCCCCTGGCAAAATTTGACCCCCACGATTTTTTTGGACCCGTTGCCATTTTTGGACCTTTTTTGTTGTTTTAGTCCTCACTTTTTTCTGGATACCGGTTTTACACTAGATAGAATCGATTTTCGAAAGCGATGACCTTTTTTTTTTTTTTTGCTCTTCAAATTCGAAATTGCGGATCACCCCTCCCGGTCAGCAATTTTTTTCGGGAAGAAATTTACACTAGATAGAATTGATTTTTTTGACCCCCCCTT